TCAACCACTCTGAGCCTCAGTTTCCATCGCTACAAAATGGATCTCCTGGGTTGGGGATTTAGCTCAGTGGTAGAGCGCTTGCCTAGCAAGCGCAAGGCCCTGGGTTCGATCCTCAGCTCAAAAAAAAAAAAAAAAAAAAAAAAGAAAGAAAAGAGAAAATAGATCTTCTGATCTTTTCATAATGTTCTGGAGAGTGATGTGCTTGACTTGCTATTTCTATATGCTAGGAACACCAAGCTCCTTCATGCCGTGGGGCCTTCGAAGGTGCTGTTTCCTTTGTGGGGAGCCCTGGGTCTCGGGGTGTCACAGGACTGCTGGGCCAGCACACCCTGACTCTCAGCAGGCTCCAAGTTCATCTCTCCCATGCACTTCTGGCCCATTATCTGCTAATTTGTTTCTTTTGGCTGGTTGTTTATAACCCTCACCACCCAGGACGTGAGTTTCTTGAGAGCTGACCCAGCCCTGGCTGCAGTCGGCGTTTGCTAAGCATCTGGAGCTGGCCTCTGAGCACTTTCGAATGAATGAACAGCTAGGCTTGCAAACGACGTTATATTTAAGTGACTGATTCTCCCACAGGCCTCCCTGAGCCAAAGGGCAGTAAATGTTCCTTAATAGAGGCCTGGAGAACACTCTGGGCCTGGCCCTCACCCAGCCCTGAAGCTCCCCGGGTACAGGGAGCTGGGAGGCTGTCTGAGCTTCCGGCTGCTCCAGGATAAAGGTCAGCCCTTTGCTGGAACACGAGGTACTGCACCGTCTGGGCCTGCCTGCCTCTGGCCTCATCCCCCTGGCCTCCTCAACCCGCACTCCGTGTCCAGCCAGACCAAACAGCGCCTGGTGCCTGCAGTACAGCACAGGATTGTCTCATGCCCTGTGTCCCTTGTACCTGGAACAGCCTGCCTGCCGCTGTGCCTAGCCAGAGCTCTGCAGACTTAAGAAGATTAACTTCCTCCAAAGGGAAGCTGCCAGAACCTTCTGCTCCAGCCACACCCGGTTCCCCGAGTTCCCAAGGCCTTAGGTTGATACGGTTTTATGCATCTTTTCCAAGTTATTCAGAGGTCTTAAGGAGAACAACCAATCAGTATCCATGTCTCTAGGGCAGTGGCTCTCAACCTGTGGGTCATGACCTCTGGGGGTCAAACAACCCTTTCACAAGGGTCACATATCAGATATCCCTCATATCAGACACTTTCATTAAGATTCATAACAATAGCAAAATTACAGTTATGAAGTAGCAACAAAAAATAATTTTATGGCTGGGGCTCACCACAACCTGAGGAACTGTGTTCAAGGGTCACATTATCAGGAAGGTTGAGAACCACTGCTCTAGGGTAAGGCACAATGTCAGCTGCATACAGTAGGTGCTTAATAAAGACATAGCTTTTGCAGTCTGGTCCTGGGGCACATGTTAGGTGCTGGGTAAGTGCCCTCTGAGTTCATGAGCCTGACGCTGGCAGAAACTGGGGGAAAGGTCGTCTGTGCCGGGGGACTGGGAAACGAGATGGCCCTGGAGAAAAGGCAGAAGGGGGCCCGCGATACGGCTCAGCAGGTAAAGGGCTTGCCTCCAAACCAGGCTGACCTGAGTTCAATCCTAGGGCCCATGTGATGGGAGGAAAGAGCTGACTCCCTTAAGCTGTCCTCTGACTGCCAATGTGCACTATGATGCTTATGCACTCACACACACACACACACACACACACACACACACACACACACACACAAAATGTAATATTTTAAAAAGTAACTACAGACAGAGAGAGCTCTATAAACAGAAGCCTGAGTGAGCGAGGATGGGAAAAAGAGGAAGAAAAAGCTGCCCAGAACACAGTGTCCTCGAGAGAGAGCCACTGAGGACAGGAAGCCAGAAACCAGCACAGAGGCACCACACAAGGGCTATTTGGTGTCTCTCCTCTGTCCGCTGGGGTGGAAGAGAGAGGCATGGGCAGGCAATGTGGAGCTGTGATCATCTCCTCTCCTGGGGTGACAGGGCTCTGTGAAAGGCCATACACACCACCGGATATAGGACATCCTGGAAATTTCTTCATCTCTCAGCTCAGAAGAGCCCCGTGACAGGAAGCAAGGCACCTTGACCTTGAGCGAGCACTTCAGCTACCCTGGTCTGGTTCCCAAGCTGCAGGGTAGCCCTAATAGCCCTCTCATAGGGGCATCAGGCTCATGCTGAGTTAGGACAGGCATGTGGGACATCCAGGGCCAAAGCCTAGATTCTTCCCAAAGCCCTGCTGTGGACAGTGCTAAGAAAGACCACGATACCATGGGCTGAGCAAAGTGACTTAAGCCTGTGATCCTAGCACTCAGAAGACAGAGGCAGGAGGATCAAGAGTTCATGGTTATCCTCAGCTACACAGAGAAGTTAAGGCTACCCTGGGCTACAGGAGACCCTGTCTTATCAGGCCATTTGGCTCTGGCTGTGAGGTAGGTAGTAATAGGCAGTCCAAATGTCCCAAGCTGGGAGCTATGACGAGCAAGCCTGACACTCCAGATCCTCTACTGATGGTGTCATGGGGACCTTGCAAATGGGTGGGTTTCAGCCTGTCCCACGGGCCAGTGTCATCAATGGTGCATGTAATCCCACTGCTTGGGAGGCTGTGACAGGAGGGTCATGAGTTCAAGGCCAGCCTGGGACATACAGCAAGATCGTGTCAATAAACAAACAAATAATATGTCTAGTTCCAATTTGCAGCTTTGATGGGGACTGTCAATGAGAGGCTGGGGTGGATCCCTGCCCTCTACACGTCCCCACCTCTGCCCATGCCCTGTGACTGCTAGGGGCTATCTCTGATGCTTGAACAGTCAAGACTTAGGGTATAACCTCACATATCCAGCTGGGTTCAGGGTTATTGCTGAAGTACAAGAAGTAAGTATGGGAAACAGGAGAGCAGGGAAGGACTCAGCCTCACACACAGAAGCTGGAGAGGATAGAGGGGAAAAGAGAGAGGGAGAGGAGAGGAGAGGAGAGGAGAGGAGA